TACCCCCCCCCCCCCCCCCCTTTGTTAGATATTGAATTGCAATGTTAATGAAAGGGGCAAATATTGGTGCAATGTTGTGAAAAATGATTCAGGAACACATTGTACTGATGACGCACAGCTTATGCCACATTTGAATCAGTTGAGTGAGGCATATTTTAGTTTGGCTGTAATGCAGAATCACATGTTCAGACAGAATCTGAATTTGGCTGGGTAGGGATTGGTTGAGGGGGATTGTCTAAACTTTCCGGGTTTGTTTTTGTCCCTCGTCCTCCTTCTCAGTCAGCAGTCATTAGCGTGTGTAAACTCTCACTCTCACTTTTCACAGAGTCTAGGTGTTCTTATGCTAATCATGTTGTAGTTCATTCTCCAGGCTTTAATTAGTCGGGGACAAACATAATTGCTTATTTGCCTCGCAGAGGCTGTCGGATGGGGCGATTGTGTTTAAGTGCTTTAGTCTGGTAATATTTCACTGCTCAGCTGTCAGCATGAACACATGTAAGCGTCTGCTTACGCTCCGCGCTCGTTTGGGAGTGACTTGTGTAGCTGTACTTCACTCTGCTGTTCGTTCTCTTGATGGATTTGGTAATGATTTCTCAATGGGGGATATGCTGCCCCAGCATTTTCATAAAAAGTAGTTACAAAATGGAGCGTGCAATTTCTGTTGATGGATCTTGAGAGGGATAATGAAGTATTGCTGCACAGCTAAATTCTGCAGATTGGTCATTAATGTTGTTTCAGAGCAGTAGTTCTAACCAAACCAAACAGTGAGTGCTATTTGAACAATCGTCTTTAAAAAGTGACTTTTCTTTAAATCGTCTTTAAGAAGTTTTTCTTTTCTTTTCTTTTTTCTTAAAAAAATGTTCCTCTTATATTGTTAGAGAACTATAAAAAGCCATATAAAATGTAACACAACCACATTATGAATATCATTATGAATATTATTATGAATAATAGTATTATCATCATCATCATCATTATTTTTATTATTATTATTATTGTTGTTGTTTCCCCATCCTTTGTAATTTAATCCTTGATAGCCTTATGCTGAGTTTTTCTGACCCTTTTTTTCTGAGGGTTCATGGCCTCCAACAAAAAAATATTTCATAGAAATGAAACATTAGACATCATTAATTCTTATAATTTAAAGTTTTTTGGGGGCACTCTTGAGAATTGATTTAAATTCAAGTTCAGTTCTAGAATTGAAGTTGACCTGACATAGTGAATATTAATACAACATTGCAGTTTGGTTGGAGTGTAAGGAAAATTAATCAGAATTCAAACAAATTTAAAACATGCCATTTTTAATTAAAAGCAGAGACACATTTAATATGTTCTTGATAAAGGCTTGTTTGAAAGTTAAAAAAAGTAAAAAAAAAAATTGACATTTTTAGGTTTATTTATTATAGACAGAGAAAACAATAGATTGATATGATTCAATATGTCAGTTTTTCTGCATCAAACTGGAACAGCCTCTACTTCTGATGACTCTTTTTTTATATATCTAATACAAATACAGTATTTCAGATCGCACATACACTCTTAAAAATAAAGGTGCTTCACGATGCCATAGAAGAACCTTTTTGTCTAAATGGGTCCATAAAGAACCTTTAACATCTGAAGAACCTTTCTGTTTCACAAAAGGTTCTTCGTGGCGAAAGAATGTTCTTCAGATTATAAAAAGGTAAGAAAGAGATGGTTCTTTGACTGAATGGTTCTTTGTGGAACCAAAAATGGTTCTTCTATGGCATCGCTTGAAGAACCGTTTGAAGCACCTTTATTTTTAAGAGTGTATGTATGATGTAAATAGAGAGGATAAACGTTGTTTAAGCCTTCTTGCAAGTTCTTGTGCAATATTCATTTTATTTAATTTTTCATCTGAGTTAATTATGAGTCACACTTTGTACACTTCCCTGACTTCCCTGAAGAGTATTGCAGATTCTTCAAACAGTTTGTAGTTGACACAGTCATTTTAAATCTGAAGTGTGAACTACCAGTGCTAAAATAGGGGGTTTCATTACACCTTAAAGTGTTTATATGTTTCTGTAGGGATGCCATCCAGGTCTGAAGCTCAACATCGGAGACAGAAACATTTAACTGGTCTAAAACAAAATATGTACGTTTTCATATATAACTTTTCAAATGCATATATCTGAGAAATATTATTTTATTGTTTATCAAGTTTCTAATGGCAAGTTAATCCTTTTCCAGCCCTTTCACCCTGCTCAAGTTAGGTATGGCTTTATTAGTAGACAATTTATTATATTCAGCTGGGCTGGATTCTTCACAATTTCTTCGCAGACATGCGGAGTAGGAATTTCGTAAATTTGCTGCTTGTGTTACCAATTAGTCCCTTTATTTAAGCTGTGATAGCCACCCATCTAGTCAACTAAATTTTTTTTCTCAACAAATTTGAGGAATTTTACATTGTGTAGACATACACTTTAATGTGTGATATGACTAGGTTTGCCCCTGACTCAAAATTGTTCTAGTCGACTAATAGTTGTTCATTTAAACTAGGGCTGTCAGTTTAACGTGTTAACTTAATTAATTATTTATGAAAAAATAACGCAATTAAAATATTTTAACGCTGTTAACGCACTGGCCCAGCCCCCAGACCTGTACATCATCTTGCATTTCATACAGTTGACAGTTGACAAATATGATGCAGGGCAACTACTCCATAAATGCAGTTATGCCCTAAAATTCAAGATATTGGTGCAAAAAATGCCCCTGTAATGAGTTTTTGTCTCAAATTTATATCATACGATAAGCGATAGCATACGAGCAGCGAGAGCAATATCAGACGAGTCCTGTTTATGTCCGAATACCACGAGTGCAAATATGATTTTACACAACAGTTCAGTAAATAAGAAGTTGATATTGCATTATATTTTAAACACAATATTAAGTGATTTTGCTAAATTTTGCAAATAATATATTTTACCTTTAAAGTCATGGCAGAATTGTTGTGCGTCTCCGAGCAACACAGCGGTGTTTGGTTTCTGAATGAATCCAGGTTTTGAACGAATCGGTTGAACCAATCGATGTTTCAAAGACCCATTCATAGAAAGAGCCATTTACTTCATTCCTGAATAAATCAGCCATTTGAACGAATTAATGACTCATAAAAACATTTACCGCCACCTGTTGGCAGATTTAGTTTCTTATTTTTAGATAAAAATAATAAGGGATAGTTCACCCCAAAAATGTAACTTCTGTCATCGTTTACTTACCCTCATATCGTTTTAAACCTTTTTTTTTGTGGAACATAAAGGAAGGTATTTTGAAGACTGTTGGTAACAAAGCTGTTTTGGTTAATGACTTTCATTGTATGAACAAAAAATACTAAAACGTTTCTCAGATTATTTTGTGTTCCATAGTTTATGTTGGGCCTAAATGTTTATGTGTAATACATTTTATGTTGAATCAAATAATTAAAATATCTTTCTAAAGCTACACTTTGTAATGTCTAGCTACTTGAATACTTTCTCATTTAACACAAAATTTGCTTTAAATAATCTTTTGTGGGTATTTTCACAGTCAAATTTATTTTGCGATTAATTCGATTAATTAATTGAAACATCATGTAATTAATTTGATTGAAAATTTGAATCGACTGACAGCCCTAATTTTAACCATTAGTTAATTAATCGCACATTTATTTTAATTTAATTACTTAAAGTATATACTTTGGAGGTCTTTAATATTTTGTCTATTCCGCATTCAAGTGCACGCATGAAGCTTGCAGCAACACACCCGCAAAAGTAATGACTATGAATGTGCTGGAATGAATAGCATTAATTATTTATTAATAAATAGTTAATAGTTTTTAAAGAGAGAAATGCACCTTTAATACAGATTACATAATGAAAGAGTTTTTGTTTTCGATTTGAATGGGTTCCAGACATTTCAAGCAAGGCAAGAATACGCTGAGTTATGTTCATTTTTGTGACACGCACCAGTTCACGGAGACCGAAACAGCAGAAAGTGCACCCTGTTTATTTTCTTTATTTTATAAAAGCACAATGACTTGTTGATATTGTGAGTGTATATAAATAAGTGTAGACCCTTTACAGTTTTGAATTATATATTACTCTTATCTTTAGGAGTGAAAATGACAGCATATTTTAAGTCATTTTTACTCAGGAAAAGAAATGCAGTAGCACACTAACAGCTTCCACACTTCGCACAAACACTTGGACATGTGACTAAAAGTGCAAATTTATCTAGATAACATTAGAGCAAGCAGCCATGTAAAGTTGCTACTACTTTCCAATGATAAGCCATATTGTCTGGGGAGGGGGTGGGGCATTTTATCATATAATGGAGACAGAATTAGAAATGGGTTATTCTTTGAATCATTGTCATTAGACACATATGCGGTTACCAAAATAATTTCCTTAACTCTGGATGAAATCATACATGCCTGCTGAGTAACATTTTTAATATATATATATATATATATATATATATGGTACAGATTTATATATGTATAAAAAGAATGTGACTCCTCGTGCATGGATGAAAATGGAACCGTAAAATCTCAGCTGGGGTTAAATGAGTCAAAAAATATGCTGTAATTTCTGAATGTAATAAGACTCCGTGATTGCTACTGTTTAAAGCAATGTAAGTGCAGACATCAGGTTTGTTGTGGGTAAAGTAAAGCTGGACTCTATAGGACAGAGATGCGTCAACACTGATCACTCATTTCCTCTGGGTTCACTGTCTGTTTCCTGTTTTTAGATCAGCTACCAGAGCATCGAATCATCAGATCCCAGCATCAACGTTCCCGGCCCACGGCGCACCGTCTCCAAACTAAAGAACGAGACGTATCACATGTTCTCCGGGCTTCACCCCGGCACCACATACCTGGTGTCTGTTCGCGCCCGCACCGCCAAGGGCTTTGGCCAGACCGCCCTGACCGAAATCACCACCAATATCTCAGGTGAGGAAATGCGCATCGGCACAAGTAATCCTGGGATATGAGAGGCATCCAAAAACCTGCAACTTTGCTGGCTTTCTGTCGCGTCTCTCTGAATCTAAAGTACTTAATTATAAGTTTTCCTGCCCTCACGCCATATAACATCCAATGGGGAGGGGGGGGCACTCTGGAGGTCCCTCAGGACAGACACGGGACAGTGGGCCTCCAGAGCGGTACCCGTTCGGGGTGCCATGGCGGAGCAGGGGACTCGGGAGGCCACGGTGAAGCAGCCTCCGAGGCCGCGGCCCCAAACCCCCGCCTCGGCTGGAGCCCCCAAAAAAAATACTTGGGGAAATTTACGGGGATGTACTCGGGGCCTGGAGCCCTCCTTGGGCTTAACGGGGAATCTGGAGCCCTCCCTGGGCTCAACTGGGGATCTGGAGCCCTCCCTGGGCTTAACTGGGGATCAGGAACCCGTCCTGGGCTTAACTGGGGATCAGGAGCCCTCCCCGGGCTGAACTGGGGATCAGGAGCCCTCCCCGGGCTGAACTGGGGATCCGGAGCCCTTCCCGGGCTATACTCGGGAACAGAAGCCCTTCCCATCTGGAGCCCTCCCTGGGCTCAACTGGGGATCTGGAGCCCTCCCTGGGCTCAACTGGGGATCAGGAGCCCTCCCTGGGCTGAACGGGGAAACAGGAGCCCGTCCTGGGCTTAACTGGGGATCAGGAGCCCTCCCTGGGCTGAACTGGGGATCCGGAGCCCTCCCTGGGCTGAACTGGGGATCCGGAGCCCTCCCCGGGCTGAACTGGGGATCCGGAGCCCTTCCCGGGCTATACTCGGGAACAGAAGCCCTTCCCGGGCTGAACTGGGAATCAGGAGCCCTTCCTGGGCTACACTCGGGATCAGGAGCCCTTCCTGGGCTACACTCGGGAACAGGAGCCCTTCCTGGGCTGAACTGGGAATCAGGAGCCCTTTGTGGGCTATACCCGGGATCAGGAGCCCTTCCTGGGCTTAACTAGGGAACAGGGTAGCGCTTACGTGGTGCTGGCACTGGAGGGTGCTTTGGAGGAGCAGGCACAGCAGGCACACAAGTGCATTCGAGGAGCTGGGACTGGAGTGAGGTTTGGGACTGGAGCCAACACTGGAGCGAGAAACCAGTAAACAAAAACTGGCCAAAAGGTGGGGAAAGACAAATGCGAGGAAAAAGTCGCCACTCACTTTCGGTTTTGGTCCGGTATTCTGTCACGGGTGCACTGCTGAGTGGACTGAGGAGCAAGGAACGGAGAAAGACGAGGAGTACATTAATCCAAATGGGTTTAATCAACACATGGAACACTCACGCTATACCTGACATGAACAATACCGGACGCTGGAGCACACACAGGGAACCCTATTTATACACACAGGAGGAGGGGATGACGAGACACACCTTATATATATATATATATATATATATATATATATATATATATATATATATATATATATATATATATATATATATACTGTATATTTGGGGTGTAACGGTACACATATTTGTACCGGGAATTTTCGGTACGGGTCTTTCGGTTCGGTACGCATGTGTACTGAACAAATCATTACATTTTTTCAGGAAATTCAGACAATAAATGCCGTTTTGGTGCTCTTTGATCAATAAATGCTCTTTGATGTGGTGCGACATATCGCTGTATACTAACGCCTCAGTTCTAACGGAAGCGTGGAGCCGCGAGTGAGCACGATCATCCCTTCATCTTTATTACTAGTTTTAATGCGAAATATACATGAATGAACATCTCACCTCTCACATAATCACTCAATTAGTGTTTCAACTGTGGAAAGACGTCATTAAAACAGCTTGAAAACAAAATGTCACTTAGCATTGCATTTACCTCAGGCAAGTCATCAGTGTCTACAGCTCGTAGCATGTATTTGCTCGACAAATGAGATAGTGAAGAGCATTTTGTGAAATATTAGACTAGGCCTATACTTCATTATCTTTATTTTACCTGTTAGTGATTTCTTGATTATTTAATGTATGTTTAAATAAATATTTTATGAAACAAGTTAGGATTCTGTGAATTATTATATTTCGACGACAAATAATTTGTATAGCCTAATTTCGAAGTTAATTTGACATGTTTGCATAAAAAAAATTTTTATTTGAGTGTTAATTATTACAATTAAAAATAAGTAGCAATTGAATTTAAGTTTGGGCTCTGTTGTTAATTGTAACCTTATAGTAGGACTAATGTAAAATGGCTCCATATAGTTTAGAGCAGAAGCTGAGGTAGATTTTTATCCCTAAGAAAATTGTATTTATAATTGAATTTATTTAAAGAAAGAGCAATTTGTTCAGTAAACCATTGTTAAAAAAAAAAAGCAATTTATGTTTAGTTTTTTCCTCCTGCTGTAACGAAATCATACCGAACCATGACATCAAAACCGAGGTATGTACCGAAACGGTATGTTTGTGTACCGTTAAACCCCATATATATATATGAAGTTCCTATGCTTGAGAAGGGCTCTGTGAAGGGAGAGGCTGGCCAAGGTCACTTAGGGTGGGGTGTCAGGTATACGTTGGAGCACTGATTAGTTGCATTCCAGATTCAGAGTTGAAACATTTATTTATTTTAATTTTTTTGGTGACACTCTGTGCAAGTGCGTCGTATTAAGAAAAATGCAAGCAAGTTTGGAACAGCGGTATGCGATAAAATTTTGTGTGAAATTGGGTAGCTGCACTATCATCACGACAACGCACTGAGTTGAAGTGCTTTGGCTGTCAGAGAGTCTTTGGCTGAAAAACACATCATGGTGCTTTACCATCCACCCTATAACCCCGACTTGGCTCCTTGCAGCCTTTTCATTTTCTCAAAGATGAAGAATGGTTTGAAAGGTCACCATTTTGGTAACATCCAAAGAGCCACTACACCGGCTCTGAATGGCATCCCACTTGAAGACTTCTTTGGATACTATGAAGAATAGAAAATCACAGGGACACGATTTTCGCTGTGTACACTCACAAGGTCCATATTTTGAAGAAGGCAATGTTCAATTGCAAAATTGGTCAATATGCATCAATATGGTCAAAGTGTTTGCGTTCTGTTCTAAGCTACACAGAAACGAAATTGCTTCCATGGCAAACCAAATTGCTTTCTATAGCATCTCATGATATAATCTACTTTTGTTCTATTTAGTGATCGTTTCACTAAGCACTTGAAGTCACGTGTTACAGTGAGTGGAAATACAGTGCAGTACAGTTCAGTGTGTAAAGTCTGCTCCATCTTCCTGTACAGCGCCTATCATGTGGTGGTGGAGGAGGATGGCTCCAGACAGGTGAGGCGGAGGGAGCTAGGTCACATGGAGTGTTTCCCTGCTCCTTCCTCCCATGGGGAGAGTCCCGGAGGAGGTGGAGGAGCAAGTGGTGCTCCGCCTCATTACTACACAGCCGAACTCACGCCCAGCAGCTTACCTGAGGCTACACCATTCACTGTAGGGGACAACCACACCTACAACGGCTACTGGAACACACCTCTGGACCCCAGCAAGAACTATCTCATCTACTTCCAGGCCTCCAGCAACTTCAGAGGGGTGAGTGCCCAATCACATCTGCCCAATGAACTCTCATATGCACTCCTTGTTAGTACACGTTTTCTTGGAGAAAGCTTGGGAAGAGAAGCCGATGGAAATTTGCAAATGGATAGAAGTATTCCATAAACATAACTGTTTGATTGATTGATTGATTGATTTTGGTAATTTTGATGTTCAAGAAGAATTGGGAAATTGTTTGGAGAGTTTGGTTTATTCCAAACATACCCATTGCAAAATGATAGCCATGCAAAATGCTTTAAACAAAAGTGAATATTCATTCATTCATTCATTTAGAAACGTGTTAACATGCCTTAAAACTGGGCCAAGCAATAATGCAAACCTGTATCCTGAGATAAAGAGAGAAGGCAGTGTCTATTAGGCACATTATCACTGAATAATAAATTGTTGGCCACACCATCAGATATTCTTGGAATCTACATTGGGGTATCAAAGACATAGGCAGTCAATAATACGTTTGTGAACCGTTTGAACGTCTATTTTTTTTCCTGAATTGCTTGCTTGTAAAATGTTTTCTGATTTAAGACATAATGACTTAGCACACAAAGCTGTACTTTTCAGACCTGTGTTGTTGTTGTTTTTTTAATCCACGTAATGACACACTGTCTACAAATGGAGAAAATGTGGACTGTTGCTACTCTCTCTTTGAATGGGCATCTGGAGATCACTGTAAGAGCACAATGGACCAACCTGAAAGAACCCGAGGATAAGAGCAGACTTTCAGAAATCTCTGCAAGCAGAATGAAATGAAATTATGACACAAAAGAAACCAGTGATGTTTAAGCATGAGGCATTTCTCACAATTGCCCAAGACCACATGGATGTTCCACAAAACATCTGGAAAACTGGTCTGTGGATAGGTGAACATTGAAAAAAAAAAGATTTCAGAAGAGTATCAAAACATTTTACAGATAGTTAACGACTTTAGAATGTGATGCAACAAGACAATGACCCAAAGCATCAACTAAAGAAAATAAGTCCTGACCTTTTAGCCAATTAATATACTGTGACATAAGCGAAAGAGGGCTGTACTACTGTACCAAGACAATCCAGAAATTCTGATAGACTGAAACTGAATTTGTGGGGTGGGATTTGTATGAGCAGCTGCAGAACATGTTTTGACGCTAAATAAGAATCTACAAGTTACGAAATTATAGGGTTCACTTACTTTTTCCACCCGTCGTTGTGAATGAATAATGTATTAAATAAAATAAATTAATTAAAGTGCAGTAGTGAGTGTTATTATGTCAGATTTTGTTTATCTATAATTGTAATTTAAATTACGATCAATGCAGAAATACAGAGAAAAAAACTAAACAGAAAAGGTGTTCATAAAATTCTTTTTTTTCTTTTTGACTGTACAAATGCTTGAAATCAGTTGAACTTTCAAACATTTTACAGATAGTTAACGACTTTAGAATGTGATGCAACAAGACAATGACCCAAAGCATCAACTAAAGAAAATAAGTCCTGACCTTTTAGCCAATTAATATACTGTGACATAAGCGAAAGAGGGCTGTACTACTGTACCAAGACAATCCAGAAATTCTGATAGACTGAAACTGAATTTGTGGGGTGGGATTTGTATGAGCAGCTGCAGAACATGTTTTGACGCTAAATAAGAATCTACAAGTTACGAAATTATAGGGTTCACTTACTTTTTCCACCCGTCGTTGTGAATGAATAATGTATTAAATAAAATAAATTAATTAAAGTGCAGTAGTGAGTGTTATTATGTCAGATTTTGTTTATCTATAATTGTAATTTAAATTACGATCAATGCAGAAATACAGAGAAAAAACTAAACAGAAAAGGTGTTCATAAAATTCTTTTTTTTCTTTTTGACTGTACAAATGCTTGAAATCAGTTGAACTTTACTTTTACAACCAAAAAAATTGTAAAATATCCAGTCTACACTTTAAATAAGAACCTGGCGTGTATTGCACCTCAACAGAAGCAGCACACTAAAAACTAAACTAATGCATTGATGTCAGCTATGCTGCTGTAATTCTACAATAATAATGAGAAACAGTTACATTCTAGTCATGAATAAGTTAAAATGAATTTACAGAAGAGGCCCACAAGCTGCACAACACCTGGTTCATTTGAGACTTCTTGAGCATCATCACACATCAAGTTTTCCCACTGCTGGTGTCACTTACCTAAATAACTCAAGATGACTTCCTTGATTTTATACCCCAGAGACATCTTCTCTGCTCCTTGATGTGGATGTCAAAGCTTCATCCAGTAGGGAATAGCCTTTTGCTGGCATCCGCTTGTTGTTTTTCTTGCATTGCCACATCAAGAAGATACCAACTTCCCATGGATTCCCTACAGAAGCCCTATGATGTCTATCAATGGCTGAGCATTCATCAGCTTGTTCAGGAGTGTTCACACATTGAACGTTTTCTGTTGCTTTACAGGTGATGGAGTCTGTGACAATCTGTTGACTCTTTGACAAGATCCGTTTGATCTGAATCATATAGGTGCCATACTCTTTTGGCCATAGTTTAAAAGTTGAATAGTCTTCTTCTTTAGTGTGCTTTCAGAACAGGTCTTATTAAGGTCTATTCAGCTCTTGAACTCTTTGCAAGGCAACACATAATATCCTCTTCAGCTCATCAACTCTTTGAGACAAGACTGGTGGTTCTTTCATGGTATTCTCATCAGATCATTTGCCATTTAATTTTTTCACTTGAGACATCAGCACAAGAACCCATCTCAGACCTCCCACCTCCCTCAGAATTTCCAAGAGCCTCCGGCATATTGATAGCAAATTATAAAATTATATAAAATACCCCAGAAACCCTGTTTCCACCTGGTATTAAGATGCATTTTGGTGCAAGTCATCAACCAAAACATGCATTACTATTTCCATCTGAGAATAAGAAGTGCATCTCCTGTGACCACTTATGTTCGAATTTTAAGACACTCCCTTTTTATTTTACATCACTTTGATGGAGTTGGAGAATGGAGGAACACTACTGAATGAATGACTTATTACGGAAATAAAAATCAAATGGAAAGGATAACAAAGATAGCTGCAATTTTTGGTAATAATGTTTAAATAAACTAGATGCTTACCTGCTAAGGAGCTACTCTCTTGCTATCTTACAATATGAAGAGGCCAAACTCCCAGGTTTGATTGGATCAAATATGTCTTGTATACAGTTGTATACTTTATATGGTTAAACTCTATTTCTGGCATGGTGGTTTTCGCATTACTATGAGTATTACAGCCTATTTTAAAGATTAGTTTGCATTGCTTTATCTTTAGAAGAGTAGCACTGTTCTATAGGAGGGTAAGATTGACATAAGAGTTAACTATGTGATGCATCGATATAAAAAAGTGTGCATCGGATTCAGGTTGGCATTTGTATTGTGATGCATAATTTATAACATACAGTATTTGCACTGGTAAAAACTGACTTATTTATATATAATTATAAGTATGCACTATACTTTTTTTATTTAGAAAGTGACCAATATTTTATATGTAGATTGATTTCTCCAAATAATTTCAAATCCAATGTTTGGAAACACTTTGGGTTTTATAAGAGAGATGGAAATGTTGATTAAAAACCTATGCGATTTGTAAAATAAATAAAATATAAATAAAGTGATAAAAGCAAACTATCTGTACCAAATTGAATTGTGTAGCATCATATATATATATTTTTTCCATTGCATAATATTGCATTGAATCGCATTGTGTTGAATCGAATCGAAATCGGATTGCACTGCATCATAATAGGGGTGAATCGTATCGCATCACATCGGTAGCTGCTTCATATGTATCATATCGTTGGCTATGCATCAATATGCGTTTCACATCAGCCTCAGTTATGGAATTGCACATCCCTACTGTTCTTCATCCTACTAAGCAACCTGAAAACAAGAGACTCGGGTATCATTACTTTGTCTTTTAGGTCATTCTGACCAATAATGTATTATTACCTGTAGTCATTGGCTTTCCACATACAGTAGGTCTTCAACCCTGCTCCTGGAAATCCACTATCATGATAGGTTTAGTTCCAACCTTCTCCACCACACCTGCCTGCAAGTGAACACCTTGATTAGCTGGTTCAGGTCTGTTTGAGTAGGGCTGGAGCCAAACTTTAAAGTTTAAGGCATCTGGCCTAGCATCTACACATCAGACTTCAGGATTTCAGATTCAAAAGCAACAAAAATGTACTTAAAAATCAAAAAGATTCACCTAGTGAATTCTAGTGATCCTGAAGTCCTTGATTCGCTGGTTCAGATGTGTTTAATTAGGACAAGACGTTAATTCTGCTGAAAGGTGGCCCTTCCTGGTCTAAGACGTTTTACAAGTCCAGCAAGTCCAGCAGTATCAACTCTTGCTTAAAGGGGTCATAGGATGCTACATGCACTTTTACAAGTAGTTTGAACTGAAATGTGTGTTGGCAGTGTTTGTACACAACCACCCTATAATGATAAAAATCCACCCAGTGTTTTTTTTTTTTTTCTGCTCAAATCTTTACCCCTTTCTCAAATCGAGCCGATCTCAGATGCCTGTCTGTGTGACGTCACACAGACAGGCCCCTCCCACGATAGTTTGATTGACAGTAGCGTTTCAGCACATACTGGACTGGTGTCTTACCTTAGCTCCGCCCTGAGTGACTGTCATCAGTCCGCCATTGTTTCACCGCCAGAGCAGATGTAGACAAGAATGACTCCTAAGCGACTGAGGTGTTCTGTTTTTGGATGTAATAATGAACATAGCAGTCGTCATTTACTCCCGACATCTGAGCCGCTGAAGACGCAGTGGATTATGTTTGTTTTTGAAGGGAATGCGCCTCTGATCTACATAAATGCGTCTATGTTCGCGCGGATCATTCGTGATCCAGCCTCACCTACAGAAGAAGTGAGTGTAAGGTTTTTTTAATGAATCTTTTCAAATCGCCTTTCCTAATAATGTGCTAATTAGCAAGTTTCACTCAGAGAGCAACCCGGAAGAGAGGGGCGGGGTCAGCAGAGCTAATTAACATTTAAAGGAAAATGCTACAAAACTGCGTGCTCTGAAAAGAGTTGTTTTTGACAGGGTAAAAAATATGTTTTTTACACTACCATTGAGAAATTTTAACCAAACTATGTTACAGACTTTTCATTAAGACCCTAAAGAATTATATCAACTTGTGGAAAATGGGCTTCCTATGACCCCTTTAAGCTTGATTAATGCACCAAAACCAGTTCTTCGTTTTCAGTCAACTTTGATGTTGGGTGGATAATTGGGAAATAGACATCAGACAAGTAAACTATATACACTGATAAATTATGTATACTTATATAATTAATGAGAATGAATAACTACCACTGAAGATATAATCTGCTTCTGTAGCAACCTTGGAAAGCTATTTAAGGACATGATTCAATTGAGCACAACATAACATCTTATTTACTTTTATTAGGATGCTGCTTATTTAGTTGTTTGATGTATTGAGGTGATACGCCGAGATCCAGACTGCGGTACATGAAAGTTCCTCTGCAAGCACAATAGAGAGAAGCATTTGATCATCAGTTGTCATTTTAATGAGATCTGTGGAGTTGTATTCTGTCTCCTGGTCACGGAAATGACTCTGTAGTGTCCCCGAAGTAAAAAAAAAAGGGGGGTTATAGATTTAGAGAACAAGACAAACACACTCAGTTCGACTCATGTTGGCTGGCTGGCTCATCACTACAAACAAAACAAAGGTACCATTGTATCCAATAATGGGATTGCGTTAGAAATCCCTCCTCTAATGGGAAGTAATGAATACATAATAGGTCATAAACAGCAGCATCAACCACTCAACGCTGTCTGACACTCGCCGCTCAAAGTGAGTTTATTCTAGCACAAGATGAGTCAAATTCATTCAGGTTATTTATCTATCTGACCCACAAGCATTTCCATCTTAATCAGCCTAAATAAATCTTTTTAACGTGAGCGACGCTGGATGCTCGGCTGTGCTGTTGCTTATTATTTTGACAATTATTTGTGATAATTAGGTGCAGGTTTGCTCTATTAGACTTGCTCTGAATTTAAACAGTAATTACTCTGACTAAAGTGGCTTACTGCAGCTCAATGGGCGTATGTGTTGAATTTTAAAATAGACAAATGCATTTTAGAATAAAACAGAATTTATTAGTAGGAGAGGCAAGCTTCGTTATTACTGTTGCTCCAAACCCTTAATCCCGCTAATACGTTTTAAACTTCACTACATAACTCATCCCGCATTGTTTGCACTGTAGACTTGAGAGGACCTCAAATTATGCAGCGACTTTTGCACTCCACTGACATTTTCTTAAGTGAATTATGAATGCAGTGGCTGTTCACCTCTCCTATTCACATTCCCATGGATGCATAAAAGTCAGTAATTTTTGTGGGTGTGACAGACAGACGCATTTTCACTCTGAATATTGACCGTATTACATTGTGGGAAATAGCTGGGCATCACCACCCTTAACAGCCACTTGTAAAGCAGTGTTGAGCGTGACCTGCATATCATATCGAATATCATCTGACAGCGATTAATTTCAGCGCTGCCCCTCAGTGCCCCACAAGAGGACACAGAGGACTGCCGAACACATGTTTTAATGACATGTTAAAATACGGTGGTAAATATGTCACATCTGCCCCGGTGAAAGAGAGGAGAAAGCAACTCGGTGCTGGTTTTCAATTTAAAAGGCAATTTACAGGCAGTTTGGGTGAGAAAGGTCTCGACTCCAATCTAGGTAGATGAATTTGCATAATTGCCACATAAAGCCACAATTTGCACCTGTAAATCTTAATTTGATAATATGTCTGTGTAGCTCATCCTGTTTGTGTGTGTGTGTGAGAGAGAAATGCTTAGGGCTGGATTGGACTCTTAGGCTCTGTACCAAAACCTAGGGAGCTAGCCATGTAGACAGTATTTTAGGCACATCATAAGGCCATGAGACTCTTTTTTTTTGTGCTAATTACAATATTGTATATTAACTTAGAAACATGTTAATGATTAATCTATTGAAATCATAGTTGCACAAATTGTGCATTTAGGGCTACAACAGCTTGTTACTGTACAGTAGGCCAACTTTGTACCCCACCTAAGCCAAGAAAGCTGTGTATTCCAAGCTAACTGGGAACTCAGAGTTATGTGGTCCTTAACAACATTCTCAAAATATTAGCACAACAACATCATTTATATATTGTTCATTGATTTTTGGGGTAACACTTTATTTTAAGGTGTCCTTGTTACATGTTACATGTACTTATTATTATAATAACAATAAATTATGCATAATTACATGCAAGGAACCCTAAGCCAAAAGTACTAATTAATATTACTCAGTACTTAAATGTATAATGCACTGTAACAGGGACACATTAAAATAAAGTGTAATCAATAAAAAAAATAAAAAAAAAAATATATATATATATAAGGACATAATCTGGACATTCTGAACATTCAGAAATAATGTTTTCAAAATTTAATGGGAACATTAGCAAAATGTTGTAGTAAGGGGGTGTTTGCACAACACTGTTTAAAAAAAAAAAACGAAAAAAAAAATTATATATATACAGTATATTTATGTTTTGGCCATTCGTTTACACGTTATACATTTTTGGGGCCTGAAAATGTAAAAATAGGTTTCAGAGTGTACATTTTTGAAAATGACACTGTTATCTCTATGCAAATTATAAAAAATGCTAATTTGTGCACATGTTGGCATCATGCACATCCCTATTACATGTTCATTTGATTTTTGGGGTAACACTTTATTTTAAGGTGTCCTTGTTACATGTTACATGTACTTATTATTATAATAACAATAAATTATGCATAATTACATGCAAGGAACCCTAAGCCAAAAGTACTAATTAATATTACTCAGTACTTAAATGTATAATGCACTGTAACAGGGACACATTAAAATAAAGTGTAATCAATAAAAAAAATAAAAAAAAAAATATATATATATATAAGGACATAATCTGGACATTCTGAACATTCAGAAATAATGTTTTCAAAATTTAATGGGAACATTAGCAAAATGTTGTAGTAAGGGGGTGTTTGCACAACACTGTTTAAAAAAAAAAACGAAAAAAAAAAAATATATACAGTATATATATGTTTTGGCCATTCGTTTACACGTTATACATTTTTGGGGCCTGAAAATGTAAAAATAGGTTTCAGAGTGTACATTTTTGAAAATGACACTGTTATCTCTATGCAAATTATAAAAACTGCTAATTTGTGCACATGTTGGCATCATGCACATCCCTATTACATGTTCATTCTACAGGTATGCACACGTTTCTTTACAAAGAGACATCACCAACTACTGGCCTGGCATGCATACTACAGCAGGGATCTGTATACGAAACTTAAAAAAAAAAGAAGCAAATAAATAACTTTTCTGTTTTGTGGTACATCATTTTTGTGGAAACAAACATATTGCATGTTACAGTTGGGTTAGTAGAGTAGTAAAATACTGTATGTGTACCCTTAAGGTATTCCCTTTTTAGGGGTAAATAAGATACAAAGAGGTCAAACTGTGCTTCTTGTGAGAAAAGCTGTTTGTACTGTATGTTGCTGATTATGTAGAGCATGTCACTTATGAGGTTTTATTCATTTTGTATGTACACTTAGCAGACAACGTATGTTGACTGTAGACAGCATAACAGCTTGACTGAGCCTTCATGTCCAGCTGATGTTCTCATTCATTTGTTAGTGCATGTCATCAAAGGCATTTCTATTTAATTCTGGCTGCCCGTGGGATTTCTAGTCAGATATTCACATAAATCACACACACACGCTATGCTCTCACCCTCAGATAGCCCTGATAACTTGTATCCATTCTCTGTTTTATCCTCAGGAGACGCGGATCAACTGCATCCGGATCGCTCGTAAAGGTAATTCATTCTTTATCTGCACTGTTTACACGCTTGAGGGCATGTCTCATTGACAGCGCATATACATCAATGCTAACCAAATGTCCCGGACTCACTCACACTTTGGCAAGAGATGAATGCGTATTTGTTACCTTAATGTGGCTCTTTCTCAAAACGCCAGCAGTGATAGTTGGGCACAATCCACAGAGTATTATAATTCAAATATTACAAAATCTCATTCAAGTTTGGCATAGTGAGCCAACATAATAGAAACAGACTGAAGAACAAAAAATAGATGAACAGATAAAGCCAAAAAGAAGTAGGAGGAAACAGACTAAAGAACACGGGCTTTATTCCAATTTTTTTTAAAGCATCATAGATGCACAGGTGCAAAATGTTGGTACGAACAGTATGCTGCTTTCAAAAATATTTCATTTTGGCTAAATTACAGAGAAGCATTTCATGTTCCATGTGTTGATGAGGCAATCACATGATGCATCGCAGTGTTAGTTATAAATACATTTAATTCGACACATTCATATTTATGCATTTGGCAGATGTTTCTTCATTTTAATGATATCTGCAAACAGATAAAAATAATATAATAATAAATAGTAGGATATCATTAACACACTCACACACAAGGAAACATACATGTGCACTGAAATGTTATCACCACTTTCCCGCATCTTTATCGATAAAATATGTTTGCAACTTAAAAGCTATGTGACATTTCTTAGTAGCAAGGTGGCAGCGTCACTGTTCTTACAGCAGTTAACATGAAGCAACTTTGCTATCATTGTAAGGTTATTCTTAATGCATTATAATGCATAATGGCTGCATTATTAAGAAAAAAAACTAAAAAAGACATAAATCTCATGAATAATCATAACAACAGTACTAAATACATACCTATTTGTAGTTAGATATATCAACAAAAAATGAACATAACTGTATCCACTTAGTTTATAATGGATTATATATCCCACATTTTTGTATCTTTTACTTTCATCTTGATATTATTTACTTAATAATATCTGCTCAGTATCGTACTACATCCACTTAAAGCAAAGTGGCAAATCACAGTCTTCTTTCAAACATTCAAAAAGCTTTATAATGTGCTCATACGATTTACAAGTGGTCTTTGCCTGCTTTAAGTAAAGTAACAAAGGAGGAGTCTGATGACGTCACGGAGCTGAGAGGGTGCACGGAGGCCTAGCTCCCGCATCATTCGACATTTTTTTGACTTTTAACTAGACAAAAAGTTAATTTCACATCTGTTTGGAGGTATATTTGGGAACAACATGTCTAGCAAGGACGGGGGTACTTTTCCGATTGAAAAAGGTCCAAAATCCCAACAGAATCTTCGGAGCAGGCCTGCCGACGCTGATTCACAGGATGGCAGCACATGCGAATGTGGCTACTCACTTAAGCTTACACGTGAAGTCACGGAGTGCATCAGCAAAGTTTTGGACGAGAAACTGTCAACATTCACGAATGTTTTGGATGCTATCTCGCAGCGCGTTGAAGACAACACTAAACGTATTACCAACGCAGAGCGCTGAGTGTCTGACATTGAACACACACCGCGAGCGACCTCGACGGAAAACAAGCTGAGAAAAACTGAAAAGTTAATGCTGATGCTATCTGAAAAGGTGGAAGACTTGGAGAACATGTCAAGGCAAGACAATATTCGAATCTTAGGGCTCAAAGAGGGGTTTGAAGGCTCTCAGGCCTCTGCATTTTTCGCTACATGGCTACCAAAGGTGCTTGAGCTGGACACCACGAAAGGCCACTTTAAAATCAACTGAGCGCACAGAAGCCTCGGCCCGCAGAGGAGTGACTGACCGAGACCGGTGCTCATCAAACTTCACAACTTTGCCGACAAACAACGCATAATGTCTGCTATAAAGGCCAAGCGCTACCTGGAAGTGGATGGTCAGAAAGTCTTCATTCAGCAGGACTTCTCTGCTGCTGTCAAGGAGAAACGTCGGAGTTTCAATAAATCTTGCGAGGTGCTGATCCAGCGTGACGTTCGTTTCACCATGCGATTCCCGGCCGTGCTTTGCTTCACATACAAGGGGCAGAAACATTAATTTCATTGCCCGCAAGAAACCCAGGCATTCTTGAATGGTTTGCCTTGACTTTCTGACGACGGATCCCACTGTATGGTACTGAATTGAGTTTGCTCTCTCCATTATCGTGTTGTCGTTCTTTTAAACCGCAGGAATGACATCTACTCTCCGTTTCTCTGCTGACTTTAAATACTGACTGCGAACACACACACACACACACACACACTGTCTGAGTCTCGATTACCTGCACATCAGTGACTAAATCCTCCATTCCTAGCTTTAAAATCACGTTTCAGCTTGTTATGAGATACTTAATAAATTAGAGTTTCACTTTATTTTGTGGTGTCATTGCTGCGGTGTATTTATATATTTAAGTGAGTAATATTAATTAACAATTACTTAATTATTAACTACTTACTAAAAAGGGGTTGGGGTAGGGTTTGGTTTAGGATTATTGCATGTAATTATGTATAACTTACTGTTATTAGTATAGTAAGTACATGTGATGTGTAACAAGGACACTGTAAAATAGTGTTACCGTAATTAGTTCTAAAAAATAAAATAAAATAAAAACTCAGCGAACTCAGTTAAAAACTGAGTTTTTAATGTAAAACATCTAGACAAAGTCTTGAGCTGTGGTAATTGTAGTATAAGCAGAATAATTAATGATGGGCTGTTGAATTATTGTAAAACAATGCAAAACCGAATGCATTCATAAAGCAGAGTGGCCATATACTTCCCATAAAACTTCCCATAATCAATATTTATAATCAGCATTTACCAGCATGTTCCTATTTATTGTTATATTTTTAACTGAAAGCATCAGATGTGGCTAATGAGAAAGCGTAGAAAGCCACCTCAGTAACACTTTCTACAAAGCCTGTATTTAAAATGTATTATAAAGGTCTTGATGCATTATAATGCATGCATAATGACTTATAAACAGGGTGCACATTTTCAGCCTGGTTCTCATAAGAGCACCTGGAGATTTGGTTTGTTCCTCACACATAGTGTGACCCATTAAATATATGTATATATTTATTTATATGTATATATAGCGATCTTTTATTTTAGCGGGTTGCTGGTATATGCACTGTGTTTAACTCTGCAGATTGAAGAGCGTCAGTAAATGAAATGTCACAGTTTTGCATTGTGCTTTGAAAACTGCAGCTGATAGCCTAGATTTATGCTTTCAGTTTGAATATAAATCTTATACAGTATTACAGTTGTTTTGTTAATTGTGCATTGACAGCTGGCAACTATGTCAGTAATGCAAATGAGCGGTCTAAACTTATTTACACAGTGCGTATTTTTTTATTTTGGTCGTGCATGCACACCTGCGTACCACTTATGTGCACCCCTGCTTATAACCAACCTTCTATTATGGTGTATCATATGATAAATAATCATAACGACAGTTAAAATACAATATAATGCCTACTTTTTTGTGGCTGCAACTTTTAAGAGTATGATGCATTATAACATCAGAAAGCCTGCATTTATAATGCATTGTAAGGTTATTCTTAATGCATTATAATGCATAATGGCTGCATTATTAAGAAAAAAAACTAAAAAATAAATCTCATGAATAATCATAACAACAGTACTAAATACATACCTATTTGTAGTTAGATATATCAACAAAAAATGAACATAACTGTATCCACTTAGTTTATAATGGATTATATATCCCACATTTTTGTATCTTTTACTTTCATCTTGATATTATTTACTTAATAATATCTGCTCAGTATCGTACTACATCCACTTAAAGCAAAGTGGCAAATCACAGTCTTCTTTCAAACATTCAAAAAGCTTTATAATGTGCTCATACGATTTACAAGTGGTCTTTGCCTGCTTTAAGTAAAGTAACAAAGGAGGAGTCTGATGACGTCACGGAGCTGAGAGGGTGCACGGAGGCCTAGCTCCCGCATCATTCGACATTTTTTTGACTTTTAACTAGACAAAAAGTTAATTTCACATCTGTTTGGAGGTATATTTGGGAACAACATGTCTAGCAAGGACGGGGGTACTTTTCCGATTGAAAAAGGTCCAAAATCCCAACAGAATCTTCGGAGCAGGCCTGCCGACGCTGATTCACAGGATGGCAGCACATGCGAATGTGGCTACTCACTTAAGCTTACACGTGAAGTCACGGAGTGCATCAGCAAAGTTTTGGACGAGAAACTGTCAACATTCACGAATGTTTTGGATGCTATCTCGCAGCGCGTTGAAGACAACACTAAACGTATTACCGACGCAGAGCACCGAGTGTCTGACATTGAACACACTTCTCGACCTCGACGGAAAACAAGCTGAGAAAAACTGAAAAGTTAATGCTGATGCTATCTGAAAAGGTGGAAGACTTGGAGAACATGTCAAGGCAAGACAATATTCGAATCTTAGGGCTCAAAGAGGGGTTTGAAGGCTCTCAGGCCTCTGCATTTTTCGCTACATGGCTACCAAAGGTGCTTGAGCTGGACACCACGAAAGGCCACTTTAAAATCAACTGAGCGCACAGAAGCCTCGGCCCGCAGAGGAGTGACTGACCGAGACCGGTGCTCATCAAACTTCACAACTTTGCCGACAAACAACGCATAATGTCTGCTATAAAGGCCAAGCGCCTTCAATAAATCTTGCGAGGTGCTGATCCAGCGTGACGTTCGTTTCACCATGCGATTCCCGGCCGTGCTTTGCTTCACATACAAGGGACAGAAACATTAATTTCATTGCCCGCAAGAAATCCAGGCATTCTTGAATGGTTTGCCTTGACTTTCTGACGACGGATCCCACTGTATGGTACTGAATTGAGTTTGCTCTCTCCATTATCGTGTTGTCGTTCTTTTAAACCGCAGGAATGACATCTACTCTCCGTTTCTCTGCTGACTTTAAATACTGACTGCGAGGCCATGATAGTCTTGTTTATGCATATATAGGTCTGTTTGT